CTAATCTACTCCTAATCTGACTAGTAACAAAGTTCAAATGCATATTGAATTTACACAAACCGCACGTATTACTTTTACCAACCAATGATCAGTTCGGTATTTCTACTTTCCGGACAGAGACGGCATTGGTTCACGGCAGGGATGGTTGCTAAAGAGGCTGCCACTAATGCATTCATTCAGATAAGTAATGGAGCTTTGAATTAGAAAAGCCACGATGTCAATTTCGTTTAAGGCCGAGACCTCCTTTTCCCTTCCCCTAACGACTCTCGCTGAGGAAATGTCTCAATTTTTGACTTTTTTCTATCAAATTTAAACTGTTTTTCCATATTGCACTCAGGAAAAGATTAAATACGCCTGCTCCGTCAAGATTTCATTAGTTCTCCAAATAATTGTTTTTTGAATTGTCTTTGGAAAAGCTGGATGCAAATTTTGGTAGGAATAACCTCACATTACTTTTTGTTAGTATATTTACTGTAATTTAAAAAGGGCTCGAAAATATGGGTATGTTCTTTTCGCGATGTGGAGACGCCTATGAGGATACAATGCATTTTTCTTTGCATTCCAGTACTTCGAGAAGAAGGAAGGGATCATGTTTCTCACTCACAAAAAGGGGCTCTAGGAATTCATCGTCAACTCTTCTCGCCTTTCATTTGCTATCACTTCATTACTAGGCGTGCTCCCACGCCATCAACGTTGCGAATATTACATAGATCAAAGAGTAGCTGGATACAATTCAATGATTACTTTGGAAAGACAAGGGTGAACTCGAAACAAGCACCTCATACTGAGTAGAGTGACTAGAACTGCTCTACCTTTCTGTCTGTCCGACCAGAAGATTTTGTGGCGCAGTCGTTTGTAGGATTCGCTAGATGAAGCCCTGATCAGGTTGTTCTCATTTTTCACTTCTGGGGATTTCTTATTTGAGAGCTAAAAGGGAAGCACTCCATAGGAGAGTTTATGATACCTCCCAGCTCATAAAGCTCAATCACATGTTCGACTAGCTCTACCATTTGGAGACATGGCGTATTGAAGGTTACTGAACCGATTTCCTAAACCTCAACTAATCAACAGATTGTAGTTTTCTTTGAACTTAAGGAATTCCTGGAAAACGATTCCATTATTGGAAGCTTAAGTGTTGGTTTAATCTCTAGTCGCTTTCGTCGGTAATTACTTGTTGGTTCACGCATGAATAAGCTCATCTGTCAGGATGAAACTGCCGACAGCTACAGAATACCGGATTAATAGTAGTCGAAATGGATTATCGAAAGCGATATAGGGTCGATTCTATACGAAGGCGTAGACAGGAGGAAAAAAGCACTCGAAGTTGCCAATGGGTGAATGTAATCTTGGGAGCCCAAACGCCTTTATAGGCCTTTTTAATAAATAGAAACATGTAAGGCTCCGAGAAAAATTCACTATCGTCGTTACTCGATGGGAAAATGAATTAAACTCGAACTTAAAATTCGAGACCATTCTTGCCCAAAACTTCATTGGTTCCTGGGAATCCTCGGTTTCATAGGATCATTTGTTGAACTGCTATTATTTAAGTGGACAAGCGCACAGGGGAAACCCGGAATTTTCTGGCCATTTAACCAGTTTCTGGAACCTTATATGGTTGGGCTCACTGACGCGCTTTGTCTTGATTGGACCGATATTGTTACGGGTGAATAATTACATATGAAGACATCGTGACATCTGAGACGGGTAACCGATGATAGGAAGTCTTCAAACGGGAGACCACCTTTGATCGATTGAGTTTTATTGATTCCAGGCTTTTATGGGGGATTGCAGACGATGGATATGTGAGCAGTCATTATCCAGTAATGGACAAAATCCATTTCTGGTTAATGAATGCTCATATTTTCATTGTCCGTGCTTCCCCATAAGGCCCCACATTCCTATACTACCGTCGACCCAAACATGGCTTGTCTTGCCCTTTAGAGGGACCTCAAAGAAGTATATGAAGNATTTGGTTTTACCAAGCGGAAAACGTTCTATGCAGTTTGTATTTGCTTTGATGTCTTATTGTTAGCGCGGTCCATATTCCAGCAATGTAGCCATAATTGCTCAGTAAAGAAATGACTATTTAAACAAATATGGCTTAGTAAGCTAAACCTTTTGCAGTCCAAACAGGGAAGGTACTGCATGAATCTACTGCGGTAAGGGTGGTATGGGTCTAATGGAAGGTGAAGGAAGAGCGGAGGCGTCGTTGTGTGCCCTTGTGCCCGCTCTGTTCTCCAATCTTTCCCAGGATCAACGCTGGGATCAAACGCTGGTTTCTAGGTGCTCAGTTACCTGCAAATATGCCTTGTATATTTACTCAACTTTCTGGTCGGATTGCATCGGACCCAATATCTAACAACTTGTTTTTTCCGGCGGGCTCAAGCATAGCCAGGGTAGACCTGTGTACGTGTTCAAACACCTTTTTGAATTAGGACGAAAAACGAGGGCGCGGCGCATCTCGCAGGAGCTAATGGGGACAATTCCATTCCAGTTTGATTTTCGATTTCCGACAGAAATATCTCGAAACAAAGGCGATTGTATAGATTTAACCTTGTACGTCATCATTGCGACAAAGCGCGACATGACGTTCGTTTCCGATAATCATTAATATCAGGCCCGTGCACCTGGTTTCTTTTTTTAGACCAGAATTGTTTGAGCAGAAGGCATAAATGATGATGTAAGGCATATTGGGCGACCTTCTGGAAGGACGTGATCAATTTTCGGGACAGAGTATACACCGTTCCTGGAGCGGGCTGCTTCTTTGGGAGCTCCAAAACAGGTATGGGCAATAATTTTAGTTAGAGACCGACAGTAGGGATTTTGAAGTGGCAGGATAAGTACAGAAGGGGAGGCACAGTTCTGCTAGACCCTCGCTTCACTTTAGGGAATTGCTAAAACATGTGGGGTTTCTGCTTCTCCTTGAAGGAGCGTTAAAGAATTCTGCTTGAGAAAGTAAAAGTAGAATTGAGTATAGTCAGTGCACGGGCACCATTGACCTGACCGCCAGTGCCCGGGATCCATTTTCTCGAGCATAAAATAGGTCCCTAGCATTAGGGTTCAACCAATCAGGTCTACCTGCTTTGAATACCCATTGAGAATCCTCTGATTATGTTCCTTCCAGGTCCCGCTGGGAAACAGTGCTGTCTGAAGCTGTCTGTCCAATGACACCCCACTGAATTACTGTCAATTCCAAGTTGACTTATTGATTGTATGAAACGTGAAACGGCGTTTTTTCTGAAATTTTTGAATATGTGTTTTGGAAGAGAATGTCTCCCAAGCAACTCCTAAGTTTTGTAAAGAAAGAACTGACAAAGCATAGCTCTTTGAGAGTGCTCTTCTCTCGGAAAACTCTCGTTGGCACCTCTAAGAAGCTACCGTTTCGGCTGGCAAACAGTGCGAGAAGGGCCTGGCTCTCCGCAAAAACAGTTCCGTTTGGCAATGATGAAGTCTTAAGGGAATCTCCACAACCCCTGCACCCCTCCGCGATTAGATAGCTCAACGTTTCTGAGGAAATATCGGAGATATTAAATGGTAAAGGCCGGTGGTTACGTTTATCAGTGAGAGCCAAATGTGTAGTGCACCCATAAAAACTCTTCTAATGTGGCTAACTCGTCCTTTTCTTCCCTAGATGACGTATGAGTAACATTAACGAGCTATCGACATTATTTTAGCGATTACTCAGACCACTTTCTGCGTTGACTGCTTTGGATTCTTCGCATTTGTTTTTATACTTCAAAGAAAGAAATGTCTCTCTTCTGTTCGCCAAACGGATCTGTTCATGTTTTCACAATCCGTGCCATTTTCTATTAGAAAGTTAATTAACATGCCTCCATATGAGTCGTTTACTGCCCAAGCTGATTAAGGGAATGCAATTAGTGGAAGTGTCGGAGAGAACCCTGACATCTCGTAGTTCTTTGTTTCTTTGTTTGTTTATTTTACACAATGAGACGCGCACGTATACAAAAGGGACCAAGTCAAACAGAACGCAGTGTTGTTAAGTACCAGCATTCGTTCGGGCAACTCTGGCGGGAGGCCTCCCGGTGCGGGCTGTAGAAACTGAAGGGAACGGGGAAGGGAGAACGGAGGGAATAATCCTGGCCTTTCATTTCAGAATACTTCCAGCATCTCTCTGTCGTAACCTAACCATACCTGAAGTTCGATGGTTATACTGTTGCTGTACTGCAGAATTCCCACATACGTTTATCTGATTCAGATGTGGGAAGAATTTTCTCGAATGTCCTGACAAAGAAGGGACAGCTGAAGAGCAGCTCCTACTAGGGCTCATGGTTCATTTCTTTCCCCTCAACCACTCGAGTCTTTTTGTTTTTTTTTACTTTTCCTGAAGAAGACACTCACCGCTTTTCTTTCATGCCAGGCGAACAGTCGGTCCTCCCGCACATGTTCAATTCCATCTCTCGCTCAGTCCCATTTCCGACTGAGCAATGAACTTGACGGACTTCAAAAAAATCTCAAGTCAACCATCTTAAGGACTATCAAGAACCGGTTTCTATTGACGTCCTTCCGCAATCGAACTTATCCAAAAATGGCTCTGCCTTTCCTTTTCTCTAACTAGCCTGCAAAAACTACCTCAAGATAGAACTCTCGAAGTAATCCTCTTGAACTTACTTCGAATTCAAGCAGTTGTCATGGACATTGCAGAGTCGGAGGAAAATAAATGGAATCAATCGCTAAACCGCGGTAAAAACTACGTTTGTCAACAAACCAAAGCCTCCAGATCTGTGAGTAAAGATAAACAAAGGTAAAGTCCGTGTTGACGTGGAGATTTGCGATAAAAGCTGACAGACAGGGCCCAAATAGGATGTTTGTGTGTTTTTTCTGGAATTATTGAAAAAACTGGAAGAAAAAATAATCATGAATAAAGCTGACTAGCAAATAAATAATACAAATATTTTATTGATTCTCTACGTGTGGCGAGATGGCCGTTCTTTGGCTTGTGCCACGTATCCGCTTTTCATTCGGATTTGAAGATTTATTTAATGCCTGACGAAGAGAGAACGGGCGTCAGTTCATATGTAAATCCATCCCATATGTCTTCAACGAAATATGCTGAAAGAATATATAACCGGTTCAGAGAAATCGCGTACGCCCATGGGCCCATGGGTTCTTAGTTGTGGGAACTTTTGAGAAAAGATTTAATAGGAACTTTTTAACCCACCTCATCACTTTATCTCACTATTATCCAACTTTTTTATTTAAGTTCCATACATTCTTTGTCCTACATACGGTTTTTGTCCTCCTGACTTGGTTCATGCTGGCGAGGGTTGTGTAGTGCCAAACGACGTCCTATCACATTCATGGTTTGAGGATCGAATCTCACCTGGACTAAACAAGCCTTCCAGTCCCCCCGTCATCAGCTAGATGGTACCAGGCTCGTCTCGAAGGATGGAAGCACTGCCATTGTATAGGCTGCATACGCATTCAGAAATGTAGTGCGTCTGAATATCTGAGTGCTCTTTCAAACGCCGCTACGTTTTTTAATGAAAGCAGAAAACAGCGGCGCATCTTAAAACGGTGTTGATCCGAGTCAAAGGGCTTCACCTTTATTTCTTTTGTCTACATCACCTTTTATTACTCCATTTTATTGTTGTCAATAGCAAACTTTTATCCGTCGCTTTCTCAAGCAGCGAATGTAGTAGTCTATGGCTTTTCAAACAAGGTAAGTGGAATGGCTTGACTCTCTTAAGATAATTCACATCTGGTATGATCGGGAATCAACATCTGTGGTCATGAAGTTTATTTCCGGCATAAATTTGTTGCGATTTTCTGAAAGCTCTGAAATCACGCTTTCAAGACCTGATGGTATTCGAGCCACTTTGAAATCTTGGGGGTGAAGGAGGAAAGAGAACGATTCATTCCCTAAGCCGAAAGCCGACAGGGAAGGAGGAGAAATAAGTTTCGGTGCTGCCATTCACTCTCTTGCCCTCTTTCACGGTCTTTCAATCCAAAGCTCTTTGGGAAATTAGCCTGTTATTGTCTCTGATCTTTCCCAGGATCCTCACCTTGCGATCCAGTGCTCGCTGTGATCCCTAGAGAGGTGACCTGTGAAAAAAAAAACTGTTGGTTTGAGTGATCGGTCATTAATGCAACAGCTCAACGAATAATCGAGTCCGTTTCCATTTTTCACCTGGAACTCCGAAGGATTTTTGAAGGATAATCTGGTAGGAATGAAAATGAACCAAACATACCGTCGCTTTGAGTTTGAACAGATGGAAAGGGATGAGTAATGCTGCCCTAGTTGTGCCCTAGTGCTCTGAAGGATCACGAGGAAGTAGCAAAACATAACAAATCCACTACTGTTTTTGTAATTTAGGACTCGTCACAGTACATTTAGCACCAATAGGTCCTCTTAAAAATCGGTTGGGCTTAAATCGGGTCCCGTAGGAAGCCGTTCCCTCAAAGTTGCTTTATAAGGACTTTATATACAAAACTGGCTGGCAAAAGTAGTTAACAATTTGCTGAGTTGAAAGATTTGAGAACGAAATTTTCCGTCCATTGGCATCCCTAGGAGGATTTGAGGGATACGCCCAGCATTCGACTTCCATTCAGAATTGAAGCAGCATTTGAATGGTGGATGCTCATGTAGGCCATACTTTGATTGGCGGGACCCCGTTTAGTCCGCGGGATGTGCTCTTATCCCCCTAAACGTGCCCGATATCGGCTGGATGGTAGGCTTGGTAAGCCTGAGCTGGTATCAATCTTGAGTTTGATTTTCTGACCATGCATTCGGCACATAACGTTGTCGAATCTCCTCCCATACTTTACAACTATTCAATTAACAATATTGGTACAGTAACAAATGAATGGACTACGACTAAGACAGTATTTTAGGCATGGCCAGTGAT